TGGGACCACCAAGGTTCGTCAGGCTGGATGGGCCCTGTGCAGTGCATCAGAGAGAGGACTGAGACCTGAGAGAAATGGCTGCACAGACACCGGTCAGTGAAGAAGGAGCGGGAGGAGGTGTGTTGGAGCTGAGATTCCTCTGCAGCCTGTGGTGACACGACAGGCTTTCCCCTTGCAGCCTATGAGAGAAACAGTGGAGCAGAGATCTACCCACAGCCTGTGGTAGAGGACCCCTATGCTGGAGCAGGGATGTCTGTGTTCAAAAGAGTTCATAGGCTATCTCTCGTGGGAAAAGAACCCATGCTGCTGGAAGTTGATGATGAAACACAGATGCATCTGCAGTCCGTGAGAAGGCACTCCATGTTGGAGTGGGTGGCTGTGCCCTAAGAAGCCATGACTCTATGGAAAGAGCCTGTGCTGGAGCAATCTGAGGGGTAAGGACTGCATCCTGCAGAAAGGACTCGTGTCAGAGAATTTTGTGGAGGAGCGTCTTCCTTGACCTCATGTGGGAAGGGACCCCATGTTTGAGCAGCAGAAGAGTATGAGGAGTCCTCCCTCTGAGGAGGAAAGAGCAGCAAAAACAGTGTGTGATGAACTCACCTGCAGCGCCCATCCCCCTGTGTTGCTGGTGCGGAGGAGGTAGAGCCAGGAAGAAGGGAGGGGTTAGGGAAGTTGTTTTTAATTTCTGTCTTTGTTTCTTAGTCCTCTCTGAAGTAACTGTTAAATTGATTTGTTCCCAAATGGAGTCTGTTTTGCCCAGGGCCATGGTAGGTGGGTGGTCCTGCTGTGTTCTTATCTCAACCCTCTAGCTTTTTGTTACATTTTTTTTCTTCTCTCTACTCCACCAGAAAGGAGTAGTGAGTGAGCAGCTGCATGGTAGCTTAGCTGCTGGTGAGTATAAGCCACAATAGCACATAAGCAGGCCATCCCATTGTGCTGAAAGATGAGCTGGTGGGGAGACGACCAGCCTGGCTGAACAGAGAGCTTTGGCTGGAACTCAGGAGAAAAAAGTTTATTGCCTTTGGAAGAAGGAACAGGCAACTCAGGAGAACTACAAGGATGTTGTGAGATTATGCAGGGAGAAAATTAGAAGGGCCAAAGCCTGACTAGAACTTAATTTGGCTACTGCAGTAAAAGGCAATTAAAAAATGTTTCTGTAAATACGTGAACAACAAAAGGTGGACTATAGAGAATTGCCATCCTTGATTGAGTGGAGCAGGAAACATAGCCACAAAGGGTGTGAGGAAAAGGATGAGGTACTTAATGTCATCTTTGCCTTAGCCTATAATAGTAAGACCAGTTGTTCTTGGAGTACCCAGTCCTCTGACCTGCAAGACAGGAAAGTGAGTGGAATGAAGCCCCCATAATCCAAGCAGAAATGGTTAGTGACCACTTTGAAATCTCAGTAGCACCATCCTTGAAATGCTTTGCATGTGCAGTGGGATTGATGATGCTACTGGCATTTGGACAACAAGGTCCAAAATGAAATATTAGAAGTGCAGATTGAATGTGTGTGGTTATCTTTTTTTTTAGTACTGTCAGTCTAGCTAATGTTTGTATATTTTATTTTCAGATGAGTCTCTGGAACAACCTTATTTTAATCTTTCAGGGTTTCTCACTGCCATAGCTTAAGAGCTATGTATGTGCGCAGAGAACAAGGCTCAGATACCAATACTTTCAAAAGAATTTTCTTAATCTGAAGATTCTGGCATTTGGATTATTCTGTCCTAGGTTTAGAAACGGCAGCTAGTTTCTAGTCCATAAACAGTGATTCATGAGCAGCTTTGTGAAGATGTTCTTACAGCCCAGCCAGAGTGTAGAAAGTACTATAGGTAGTACATGTAAACATATAACACTCTTTAAATTTGTGTGAAAAAGGTTATTTCAATATTTAATGCTTTCTGTTACCTTGACAACTTAGAACGATTTGCAGTGAAACATGCTTCATCTCCCTTTGTAACAAGTTCTGAGCATCCCTTAGTACCAGGGTGTGAGACTGAGGTAGGCAGGAGTGGGTGATAGGGGAAGGACCTTACAGAACTCTGGTTTTACTGGTCTGGTTTTAATATGGATTAGATGGATGTCACACAACGGAAAACTCAATAAGCAAACATAATGTCTTGAGCTGCAGTGTTTAAATATGAAAATGTCCTTGGAAAGTCTTAACAGTTTCTGTTGATTCTCTGTTTGGAGTGCCATTGCATGGTATGTGGAGGCTTTCATTCACTTAATAGTCATTCAGGTCTCATTCAGTGTGCAGTGTCATTGCTGGTCTTGCCTCATGGTGAAAGCTTCTGTTCTCTATCTCTGAAATCGTGTGCATTTCATTCTTGCACAGGAAGGTGCTTTAGAGAGAATAGTTTGGTGGCTGCTTCCTGATAAGTTTTACCAGTTGCTTTGCTTAACTGTTTTATCAAGTACCCAGTTCTGTGTCTCATTAACAGCATTAACTCAAGATTCCAGGCTTGCTCAGGTGCTGAGCAGACTTAGAGCTTTACTTCTGTTGAAATGTAAATCATTCTTTCAGCAAAGTGGACGAGCTTTTTCAGAGAAACACAAATGTGCTGGAGGAAGTAGGAATGCCTTTTTGTCAGAGCAATCTGGTGTAGAAGTATGTTTCATTGAAACTGTGTTACATAAAATAGAAGACCTGATCTGCATGAGGCTGTGGATTACATGTGGAAATACTAATTGCTTGACAGGTCTCAGGTTTCTCTTCTCTGAGTTGCTGAGCTTACTTCACTAAGCATAGAGTTGTGAGGTAGTCTTTACAGGAATAAGGACGTTTGTGCATTTTCTGGATTTTGGGCATAGGCATTTCAAGCTTAGTTGTGGCCCACAGACATCAGTGTACTAAATTGCTTGGCTACAGATTATCTCAAGCTAGCTATGTACCTGATGAATGCAAAGAAAAGCCATGGGAAAATTCCAGTCAGACAGCACCAGTGGGAACATATGAAATCAAAATAGCAAGTATTGTCTGTGTGTGTGACAGATCGTCTACCAACTGAGACAAACCAAACATTGAAAATTAAGTAATATTGTTTATGGTATGTCTGCATATTCCAAAGGAGGAATTGTTGCAATGAGAGGAGGGAGAAAGGAAGACTTTTGTCTTCAACAACTGGTATGGAGAGGTGAGGCTAATGAAGGTAGAGGTTTTATTTGGATTGTCTGTAATCAGCTGTTTATTTAACCTGTATGTAGCTCGTACTTCAAAGCAAAGGGGCAGGAAACAAAAGCTGTTGTGCAGAAATGTGCTGGTTAACTGAAATTAAAATGTGAGGTTTCTGTAGAGTAGATTTTAAGGAAAAAGTGTAATGTTAGATTGAAAATGCCTTCTAATATGTTTTGGAGTACTCTGAATCTTGTAGCAGACTGCTTAAATAATAGACTGTATGTAATTTTGATGTAATCAGTTCATGATGAAAATAATGATAAAATACTTATTCCTGGTGCAAAATTCCCTTTGACCTTTTCAAGAAGTCACTCGCCTTGAAACTGTAAAGGAAGTAACATATCTGTTTCTAATATGTATATGTCATTCCTCATGATACTTTTTATTTTAGGAAAAGTCACTAGACACTCCAAACTTGGTCTGCCAAATAGCCTAATTATTCCCTTCAAGTAAGACTGAAGGACCTACTCTTTCTGTTGTGGCTTATTCAAATAACTGTAAAGGTTTAAAAGGCCAGTCAGAATCTTCAAAGAATGAGTAATTGCTTTATGCTCCTGGTTTCTGTGTTGGAAGTCACTCTTCAAAGACATGTCTTTGAGTGTCTTTCAGTCTTGCTTGTTTCTCCATGGGCGTGTTTTTTAGCAACAGTGGACTGGAAGTGTCAAATCTCCCAGTTTCTGGGACTAACAGATACAGGAGCCCTAAGCAGTTATTTGACTAGTTATCCTTCCTGGTCATGCATCTCTCATCTCACTGCCTGTTGCATTGATAGCTGACAATGCACTAAATAAATCAGTGCTTTTAAAATAAAAATCTGGTAAAATACTGCTTTAAGCATGTGTACAGACTGTTTTCCTTTAGGCATGAGTTGGTGACAACGATCAAACTCTGAGTTGGTGGGCAGTCCCTAATACGTTGAGCTGCAAAATGGAGACGGCATTGAAATGATTATTTTTTTTTCTACTAACTATGCTTTTTTTCTTCCCTCCCCGCCCCCCTAGATAACTATTATCTTTAAATCATACCAAGACTGTACAGATCAGAAAGTGTATCAAGCAGTGACTGATGACTTGCCTGCAGCTTTTGTTGATGGTACAACAAGTGGAGGTGACGGGAACACCAAAAGCTTGCGAATTGTGGAGAAAGTCAGTGGCAAATACGTCGAAATGCATGCCAAGTACATTGGGACCACGTTGTATATACGCCAGCTTGGGCACTACTTAACATTGGCTATTCGCATGCCTCAGGAGTTGGTCATGGCCTACGAGGAGAGCCAGGATGTGCAGCTGTGCGTGAACGGTTGCCCTTCAAGTGAACTTATTGATGATAGTGGCCACTTACCGTTACCTGTGATGAGGCAGTTGCTCCCTCAGGGTGGTGCTGCTCATCCCTGGTCAGTGTACACACTGGAAACTGCCACCACCAAATGCCATGAGAAGATGCTGGTGAAGGACATCTATTTTTACTCATGTGTATTTGACCTACTCACCACTGGTGATGCTAACTTCACAACTGCTGCTCACAGTGCCTTGAAGGATGTGGAAGCACTGCACCCCAGAAAAGAGCACTGGCATATCTTTCCCAGCAGTGGAGGTGATGGTGTGGGCAAGGGTAGCAAATTCTTTGTCAGTCGTGGACTTGTGTGCTTGATCCTTGTTGCGTTTTTGTAGGTTTTTTCGTCTATAACAAAGTTTTGAAATATGTATTGTCATAATATATTGAGTAAAGATGAGTATGAATGTGTATACCATGTATATGAAGGGACATTTTGTCTTGGGACACCCACCAGATTGTACATATTGTTTGAATTGTTTTCATGTATGTTTGATGTAGTATTTTCTGTATGTGTTTTGCAGTTGGTGAAATGTTTTATAATGTCCCTGCATTGGGACCTGATAAAAAGCACTTTATTTTTTTATATATTAAACATTTATGCGTGTATCTGAGTAACTATGTATTCTACATATAAACATGTGCATACAATACTCAGTGCTCCCTCTAAGTACTACTTGATTTAACAGATTAATTTTTTTTAACTGAATGAATTTGTGCGTTTTTCTAGCATTTCTCTTACTCTAGAGACAGCATGTCTCTTGGCCTGTAATGACACTGCTGATCTGGTGGGTTCACTAGTTAAAACCATTAAGAATGAAATTGTATTCTGTCCCTCAAACAAATGACCATCCCTTCTTTGGAGGGAGAGAGTGTAGTGCTTCCCTTATTTCAGATGACCATCTTGGATAGCACGAGTTACAGAAACTTCTTTGTGCTTCTGACGTTTGCTAGGTCCATGACATGAGTTTAAAAAGAAGAAAAGGGAATGTGCTGGAGTGAGATTTAGGTAGCTTTATAGAACCAGTGGAAAGATCATTTTAAAATATTATTAATGACCTATTTGTGTAAGCATGTAGCGTAACTATTACAGCGACCTCTAGCCTGGAGGATTATGTCATTCTCCAAGATGGACTGAAGAAATAATAAGCCTGAGTTCTGTCCCTTGCTTAGGTGCTAGCTAATTCTGTCTATACAAAAGGAGGAGAAGAGTGAGGCTGCAGACTCTGACTACTTTTACTGAGGAGCTAGGATAATGATTTGGTGGCCTGAAGGTTGATCTTACTTGGTGCCTTATTCTGTTGCAAGAAGTTGAAGCTTTAATACATACCACAATAAACCCAGCTCCAAGATGGGCGTGGTTCACTCTTAAAACTGTTCATCTGAGACTGGACTGATATGTTAGAAGTGCTGTCTGAATAAGACTCAAATAGCACTTGCCTTTGTTAAGCAAACGAGCTAGTGTTTGCCTTGGTGGAGGGTAGTAGAGTTTATTCATGCAATGAAAGCTCCTAGTTTTTATGACTCTTCTGGCTAGGTTAGGGACTGTTGACTGATAAGGACAGCACTAGTCTTCTCAAAGAAACTAGTAATTCCCTGTATGGTTGGGTGACTGCATACAGGTGTTATTCTGGGAATACCTGGGATGAAAGTAGTCAGAACTGAGTTAAGGCTGAAGGTAAAAGTTTATTTTAGACTAGATGGTTGGCAGCTTGTGTCTATGCTGTCTGATGGTGCTGTTTCAGGTGAGTTACACTTGAGGATTTATGATGTCTGATAACACAGATCCTGCAGTTTCACCTGATGGTGACAGGCTTCTCCCTATTTTGTATGGCTGAACTTCCTCATCAGTGCTCTGAATTGTAAGTTCTCATGGCTGAAAGCTGATGGATGAACCTAGTGTTGATTGCAGTGGTGGACATACTTACTGGACAGGCACCATGTACTAGTTAATTTCCTCTGTCCTTGGATCCTGTAGGTATGCTATATATATGTATACTAGCATTGAGTTGTCAGCCTCTGAGATAAATATTTCAGAAATGTAGTAATTCACCCAAAGAGTTTTCCATTATCTTACTCCTGTTCTAGGATGTCTTGAGAAAATGTTATTTGCACATGTTCATTCTTGAAGTCTTCCATCGCCAAGAGAGCTTTAGTTAATGCCAAAGGTGGCTATTTTGAAGCTACTGAATGGTCTCTGGGGAGAAGTTCAGCTTAGAGGGAATACTTCTTTTCACAGGCCCTCCAAATGGCTGTCTTCTAGAAGGCTAGAGGTATGTTTTTTCATGCTTGGAAAACCCACAATGTGTCAGTCTTTGCAAAACCTTCTAGATGTAGTTCATGAATATACCAGTATGTGTATGTTTGTGTAAAAGAGTGGCTGTGCAGTGTGTAAATCCTTTAAATTATTATGATAGAAGAATAAAGTTGCCTACCTTGCTGAGGAACTTGGTGTTAGTGACCCAGGAGGGCTACAGAGAAAAGAGGGATGTGGTCCTGTGTACTGGACAGGCAATCTCTAAACAAATCCCCAATCTGTTCCCTAGCCATCACTTTTTGGATAGGAATGCGGTGAGTACAATCATTATACTTCCTTAGAGATGTTTGTTTCTCCTCAGCGAAATAAGCTGTGTAGTGAAATTTGTGACCATTTTTTTCCAGTTTATTGGAAAGATAGTGTATGGGAAACCAACAGCGGGAACCATCCTCTCAGGATCTCACTTGTACAGTTCCTTTGCAGTGTTTGTGGAGATATTTAGAAGAGCTTTAACACAGTGATCTGATATTGCTGCATTCATCTTGACAGGCATTATGAAAATCCTCTTTTAAATTTACTGGAGAACTCTCAGACCAGAACAACCCTGGAAGAGAAAGCTACTTGCTGTAAAACTGAAGAGAAGATTGAGGTGTTGAAAGAATAAATGACATAGAGTCCATAAGATTACCGAACTTTGTATAACAAGGTGATCTGCTAAGTATACATGGGAGCTGTAATATTTCAGCTGCAGGGCTAATCACACCGTATGAAGGTAAACTGAAACTGCCAAAACTACAAACAAGTTAGATACATACCAAGAGAGGCAGACCTAATAAACACAACTTTTAAGTGTTTTTTGCTGAGCTTGTGTTACAGCTAGAGTTTGAGATGTGTGAAGAACAATCTTACATAGTAGTTAAATCATTGAAGCGCTTTGTGGAAGCAACTGCAGAAAGCACAGGGAGCTTTAAATAAATACATGTTTAGTGCATACAGAAGGTGGCCATTGTATCTCTAAGAGCCTACTTTCAAAGGTGTTGATCTACCACTACAAGCTCTGCAGAAGGCAATATAACATGATCATCAGTATTTTAATGAAACAACTGGTAAGCTGTTACTGATGCTATCTGCTGTTAGCTTTTGTCTTAAAAAAGTTGGATGATGGTTTGGATGTTAATGGCTTATTCAAAAGGTTATTTTAAGTATCTTCTAGAGCATTTCTAACCAGAAATCCTAATTCCTAATCCTATGCTAACAGAGCTCTTAACAGGAGCTGAGGATAGTTGTCTGTAGTTGCGGAGTCTGACAGCTTCCCTAGGAAGCACGTCACAGAACACAACAGAGTACTGGGTGCTTAATCCTTCATTTTGTATGTATGTACAACTCCTGAACAAGGGTATTATAAAAGCAAATAGTATGCTCAACTGACTGCCAACCCAAAATTTCTTCTTTCTTTCTTCCTGAAAAACGTGGTTGGAAGAATGATCTGCATGGAGCACCTGTAAAGTGGAACACAAACTTTTGTTCTTGTGGTCAAGTTAGGCCCCTTCAGTAGTGCATTTCCTTTCAAACTGCTGCTATACTGCCAGAAAATAGATCATCAACTATTTACATTCTCTTGCCTTAGTATTATGGATATTGTGCATTTCTTTTATGGGTTCTGAGGATGTGCAAGTGACTATTTACTTACATGCACCCTGGAGCAAACCAAGCAATGTTCCAAGCTTTGCACCGCATATTGAGGGTTTCATTAGTGGACACATTTAGGAAAAAAGTCCAAGTGGCTTCTGGCTTTCTTCTCTTTTGACAGACTCGTTCCACAGTTTCAAATCTTGCATTTATTTTCTTTATTAAGTACAGCTGCAGTGTTTTACACCGAAATTTTCATCCTTTGGTTTATTTTAATTCTCATCTGTCTTGACTGATACAGACTCCCTTGACTGATAAGACTCCCCTTTTTTTAGAAGGTATTCTTTGTTGTTGTTTACAAGATAAGTGTTCTCTGTGTTGTGCTGCTAGTTCTTTCAATCTATATTCAAAACAAACAAGGATTGTGTGGGTCAATATTGTTCATTAATGATTCTTATTAACTAGCTTGTTTTGGAGAGTGACATAGTCGAAGATCAAGTACAAGTATGCAGGTTAATTTATTGTGATGCTGATGTAAAACAGTTGCATATGATCTCATTCAGAATTCTTTTAGTTTATGTTTGTAAATTACGCTTCATTGAAATTAAAAGCTGCTGATTAGTAAATCAACTGTGAACAGTAAGATTGATTACAGACTTTGGATACATGCAAGGATATATATCAGAACCGACAACTAGGTATAAAAAAGACTTAATGTGTCATATGTAGAGTGCAAATAATTTTTATTTATAGGAATTATTTTCATGGTTACTGTAATTTCCACTTTTTTTCTGCACCATAACAGTAGAAGAATAATCCATTATATGCACAAAATGTTTATGTGTCATTGGTTCTCGTATGTGTTGAGGGCTGGGGCTACAAAAGATTTTATATGTCTAGTTGGGGTGTGAAGTGTTTAAATACAAAATTGAGATACTCAGTAAAGCCTTCTCAGTTTCAACCCAGGTGTTTCTGTAGAATCTCTACCTCTGTCTCCTTAATCCAGTGAAGTCCCTCAAGGAACCTATATTTTTGCTGCTGAGCAGAGAAGAAAAATGCAGTCTTGAGGGTTGTACACGCACCCTAGCCAGATTCACGTTCATCTTCCTGGTTTACTTGCAGGACTTTTTTGGCAGGTGCCTGACCTGCTCACTCATGTTTGGCAGATGATGGTAAGAGATGATGTTTATGTTTAGTAGTTGTTTAGTGATAGTAGGCATTCTGTCAGAGTTTGGGAGAGGCAAATTAAAATTTTTCCTCTGCCTCTTTCCCATCTTGCGAGAATGCCAATGCCCCAACAGCTATTATCAAATAAATGCCATTCTGTGTTTTTATAAAGTAATAGTTTTATCCAAATGAGCTCTTAGGTGCCTTGAAAGAGACTGGAGGCATGCTTTATGGTGGAGAGTTATTTCACTTAAATTCAGTAAATTAAACATGTAGACCTTCTCTGTAGTCAGTGGAGTAAATGGCAATATTGTAGGTTGGGTTGAATTGTCTTCTGGAGGTGCCTACTGATATCCTTCAGCAGAGGGAAAACCCAGGCAGCTGATTATTAAATAGCTCAACTCAGATGAAATTAGTCCAGCCCTGATGGGTACATTTTAAATTCCAGCCTAGGTTCCTGTTCGGGTACAACCTGTGCTTGCTAGAGACAAGCCAGCTGACCCAGCATTTCGGGCAGAGCACCGCATCCATCTCCTAGGCCTGATTGATGCATATACCTTGGCTTCTGAAAGCCTTGCACCTGAGCTTCTTGGCCTGGCTTGTATACTGAAATTTTCAATACTTAA